TTCCTTTCCTTTCCTTTCCTTTCCTTTCCTTTCCTTTCCTTTCCTTTCCTTTCCTATCCTTTTCTTTTTCTTTTTTCTTTTCTTTTCTTTTCTTTTCCTTTCCTTTCCCTTTCCTTTCCTTTCCTTCCTTTCCTTTCTTCTTTTTTCTTCTTCTTTTTCTTTCTTTCTCTCTATACAGAGCCTCACATCTCCATCCTTTGTGTTTTTTTTTTTTATTTTGAGATGGTCTCACTAAGGTGCCCAGGTTGGCTTCAAATTTGCGATGCTTCTGCCTTAGCTTCTGGAGTAGCTGTGATTACAGGGCAGCAGCACTACAACAAGTTTAGAATTTTTTTTCCCATTGTTAAAGTAGTTCAGAGCTGTAAGGAATAAGATGATAATGTGAAGTGCTTTGTTAATGGCAAGTACTACACCAGTGTCAGAAGCTCATTGAGTCGAATGCCCATGACACACAGAACACCTGGAGCCCTGTGATTATTGTGCAAAAGCTCCTACTTCCCTGAGAACAGCGGTCAGAATTAGTATTTCCTTTACCCATTAGGGTAGGTTTAAGCTACAGTAAACCAGTTTGAACCAGAATAGTGACTTTTTTTTTCAAGTATTGTCCTCTGAGTCCTGTTATAGGCTTTAATGTTCTCAGTAAAGAACTCCTGGTTATCTTGCTAGATGCTGCTGGGTGTGGTGGTACACGCTTGTATTCCTAGCACTCAGGAGGCTGAGGCAGGAGGATTATTGTGAGTTCGAGACCAGCCTGCGCTACAAAGTGACCTGAAGGCCAGCCTGAACTGCATAGAGAGACCCTGTCTCAAAGACAAAAAAAAAAAAAAATTAGCATCTTGCTAGATCAGCTCAGCAAAAAAACTTTGGTTACAATGGTACATGAAAAGGCATGGTGTGACTGAAGTTGCAGGTATAATTTAAGTTGCAAAGGTTCAGAAATAATAAATAGCTTCTAAATGGGTAATTTAATTTTCAGTGGCTATTAAAAAGTACCTTAAGGGCTGTGGGTGTAACTCAGTGAAAGGGAACTTGCTTAGCATACCCAAGGCTCCAGGTTAGATTCTCAGCATGTGTGAGCGCGTGCGCGCGTGCACACACACTCACACACACACACACACACACACACACAAAAGAAAAGGGGAAAGGAAAAGGAAAAAGAAAAGGAAAAGGAAGGTGAGAAAAAAAAAAACAAAAAAATTTTAAAGTCAGAGCCAGAACAGTGTATATAATATCTTACTATTTGTACAAAATAGAACATACTCATATGATTGAGATATCTATATATATATGGACACATACAACTAATAACATTGGTTGGTTATGGCAGGGTAACTGAGTACCTGGGAAACAGACATGGAAAAGAGATTTCTCAATGTGTACTATTCAAATTGTGCTTTTAGTACATAGTAAACTCCAGATTTTACTCAAATGTCACCCGTATTTCCATTAATGCCCTTTTTCTGTTGTAGGACTCAACCCAGGACACCACGTTTCATCTCAGCTTTTTGGATTATGAACCATTCATGACGATTATCACCTACTGAAACAATCCTTGGCTGTTGATTACCACCCTGCAGATGTACTCTGACTCCCCCTCTGCTCTTGCCTGCGGCGTCCTTAGGCATGTATGTACAATAGCTTCTCTTACCCAGCTCTTTCCTATGCAGCCCTGCTACATCCACAGGGTAGAGCCCAGATTTCCTTCCTCTCTCTTATTTTTGTAAGCCTCTTATCACCACGTCTTGTACCAGACCCAGCCAACGTAAGTAGTAGCTTTCAGCAGTCGGACACACTGCCTCCAGGCTCTAGCTACACAGACATTTTGTTTTGTTTTGTTTTCCCTCTCACTATGTACCCTAGGCTGGCCTCGAACTCTCAGCAATCCTCCTGCCTCAGCCTCCCAAGGACTGGGATTACAGGTGTGTGCCACCATGCCTGGTGAGGTTTGACTTTATAAAAGCAGATGTTACTTAAAATACTCCTGCTGCCCTGAAAGCTTTTGTTTGTAGTCTCCCCCAAAGATGGTAGTCTTTCCCACTTCCTTGTCTGATCTGCCCGTGGAGGTATTAGGAGTCACAGAAGTTAACAATGGACTAGTGCCAAGATCCCCTGGGTATGCTGTTTGGATCATGGCAGAAAGCCAGCTAAGGCTGTAACCAGAAACTGTATTTCCCCTAATTTCTAGGACTTTAGGAAATCAGTTACCTCTTTGATCTCACTCTGTGATTAGAATGAGCTGGGGCTCCGTGTTCTACAAAAGCCCCTACCAAGACTGAATGTACAATCCGTTCACTGTGTCATCCTAGGACAACCTTCAGGCTGTGGTTGGGGAGTGGATTAAGAAGGTGATAAATAAGTGAAACAACCTGACTGGATCCTGCTCTTTCTGTCCACCAAGTCCTTTCAGTTTCTTCATCACAGTATCCAAAAAGGAGGTCAAGGACTGTGGACTTCAAAGAGGTCATGATGGTTTGGGGTGTAGTTCAGGAGTAGGGCACTTGTCCAGCTTGTATGAGGCCCTGCATTAAGCTCACAGCACTACAAAAGCAAAACAAGCCATGGTGGAGCATGCCTGCAATCCCACGATTCTGGAGGTTGAGGAAGATTACCGTGAGTTCGAGGCCAGCCTGGGCTATATAGTGAGTTCAAGACCAGTCTGAACTGCACAGTGAGACCCTGTCTCAAAAAAAAAAAGCATGGGCCAGGGATGTAGCTTAGTAGTACAGCGCCTACCTGGCAAGCGCAAGGTCCTGAGTTCAATTCCCGGCACAAAAATAAATAAATAAATAAAAATAAAAAAGCAAAACAAAACAAAATAAAAACCAAAAAAACAACAAAGAGGTCATGAAATAGAGTACAAAGTCATGGTTAAACAGAACCAGCCTCTTTGGTGTTTTGTTCTGTTTGTTTGGACGCTAGAGATGGAACCTTGAGCATGCCAGGGAAGCACTCTACCACTGAGCTGGACCCCCAACCCCTAGACTACTTGGGTTGAAATCCTAGGTGTGCAACTTTCTACTGAGGCTATCTTGGACAAAACAGTAACATGCGAGAGCATGTTTCTCCATTGAAAAAGGTCATCACCTCTTAAGGTTGTCGTCAGGACTGTGTGAGAAAAAGCAGCTTAAAACGCTCCTGACATAAAGCAATTTTTACTTTCTTTGGCAGTTCTGGGGATCAAATCCAGGGACTCATGCATGGTAGGCAAGGACTCTACCACTGAGCTGCATCCCCAACCCAAATGTTTAGCAACCTCTACTTGTTATTGTATTATTTCTTCACAGAACAAATCTGAGTCTAGAAGGTATATCTGTTAAAAAAAAAAAAAAAAAAAAAAGCTGGGCATAATGGCCCAGGCCTGTAATCTCAGCACTCTGAAAAGCTGAGGCAGGGGGATGACAAGTTCAAGTCAGCCTGGGCAACTTAGCAAGACTCTGTCTCAAAATAGGGGGGTGGGGCAGGGGTATAACTCAGTGCAAAGGTCCTGGGCTCAATCCTCACACCGACTAAATACATACATACAAATAAAAACCACACAAACAAAACACTAGCCCCAAACGCATACAATTCCATGTTTCTAAGACTAAGCACAAAGGAGGGGTATCAGGTGTCACACACATGACAAAGGAAATTCCCATTCTGTATTTGGGAGAGTTGACCTTGTTCCTCGAGGCCCAAGTATGCCTCGGTAGTGAGCCTATATTTTTTTCTTTTGGTACCAGGAATCAAACTCATGACCTCAAGTTCGCCAGGCAAGCGCTTATGCCGCTGAGCTACATCCCCGACCCATGAGCCTATACCTTTAAGATGCTAATTTTATTTCTTTTGGCAAATCTTTGCTCCTCGCTGCAGGGCCTAGGCCTGGACCAGTGGAAGGTGTTCTAAAGCCTGCCACTCCACAGGGCGCAGGCCTTGCTAAACGCCATTCCCTTCCACTGTTCTGTAAATGATGTGTTGGCATCCAAAGGACACACTCCCGGACACTCCTGTGTCCTTTGGGTGGCCTTGGACAGGATCAGCGAGTCAGAGGTGGTAAAGGCAGGAATGTGTACACAATACGGCTTGTTCATGTATGAAAACATGCAAGGGGCAAATGGCTGGTGTTTGTCCCTAAAAGTAGCTGCTTCCCCCTCAACCTGATACCTCGGTTACAGTATTCCTGACAACCACAGTCAGTGTCGTGGCAAAGAAGTGAAACTAATGGAGAGGTGTCGACTTCTACGCTGTCTACCGGTCGGGGGACCACTGTTGTGATGCACAGCTCAGCCCCTGATAAACTATTATTTGGGTTTTTTGTTTGTTTTCTTTTGTTCTGTTTTGTTTTTTGAGACAGGGTCTCACTATGGAGTTCAAGCTGCCCTTGAATTCACCATGTAGTGCAAGCTGGCCTTGAACTCGTGGTGATCCTCCTGGTTCAGTCTTCCGAGTACTGGCATTACAGGCGCGCACCACCCTGCCCAGCTTTACTGGTTTTCTCCAACAGATGCTGCAACTATAGCACAAAAGTGCCCTGTAGGAACACAGATTAAAAAAAAAAAAATGTATTTCTTTTTTTATCTATTTATTTTTAAAGAGAATAAAAATTTTAAAAACATGAAAAATGATACAGAATTTCAAAACAAGATGAGAGGAAACCAACAATGGTTGTTATATTGCATATTGTTATCTTTAAAGTAGTTGTTCAGATTACTAAGTATAAGCATGCAAAATTGGTAAAAAAAATTTTTTTAAATTAAGTATTAACTATTCCTTTCAATAAACCAATAGAAATTGGTAGCACAATTATCTTAGTTATCATACATATATATATACACACACACACATATTTTCCCTTCTTTCTTTTCTCCTTTACCCATTCCCAGTTCTTTCCTTTTGAGCAGTTTCTTTCCCTCTCACAGTATCTATTGTACCTTTTGGGTCTTACTTGCTCTTTCATTTTCTTATACTAGGGAGACACAATGTTTACACATACAGGTCTGATTTATTTCACTTGAGTATGGTCTCTAGTTGCATCCATTTACCTATAAAAGCCTTGAGTTTATCTTTCTTTATAGCTGAGTAGTACTCCATTGTATAAAAAATATCACATCTTTGTTATTAAAAAAAGGTATTTCAACATACCCTGGAATTACACCAGGAATATGACAAATACTAAGGGCATGTGTCAAGTTGCTGAAGAAAGAGCTCTGAAATTCTTCACAGGAGTAGGATGCCCTCTGCTGGACACAAGGGGAGCTCCTACGATGGCTCTGCAGGCCAGGATGGCTGAAGCTATCAGGCAGCGGTAGTAGTGTGGCAAAAACAAAATAAAAAAACGAGGCAGCAAATTTAAACTCCAGTGCCATATTTTAGAATATCCAGTAATCATACACTGTGAGAACACAAGTACAAAGGCCCAAGGAAAGGAGGAAAGGCTGTTAGATTGTTTTATAAACAAAGCACCAAAAACCCAGCCTCTCTTCTTCCATATCTCCATCAGAGTTTCCCTGGCAAGAAGAGAATGGGAACACATTAAACACGTTATAGGAAATACCGGGGAAGCGTACAGACACTGCCAAGAGGGTGACCAGACAGAGGAGACCAACTCCGGAGCGCTACGTGCTGTCTTCTTGTTGAGTAACGGAACACATTCCAGGTGAGCTCTGAACGTGAACTTAACCTTTGTTCCCATGTCCGCTGCGGAGATGTCTCTGCAGATCAGAGGCAAAATAACAAAGCCAGGGTAGGGTCTTCACCGTATGTCTTGAACAGAGCCAAGCATGCCTTTAAAAGCGATACAAAGCTGGCTCTCCCAGTGCGTCCTGAGCAGGAAGGACAGCTTCAGGCCCGCACACATTTTCCACTGTCCTGCTCCAGGCGGCCAAAGGTCTTACCCAAGCAGGCCGGGCGGTGCCTCGTGGTAGGGCTGGAGGCCCGGCTGCTCAAACTGTCTCCTCCCACCTAATAAATCAGTAAAACAGCAGCACGTGGGACTGAAGTTGCCAACATGGTATTTTTTTTCCTAGATGTGATATCAATGTACTGAGAGGAGAGGGTCATTGGGAAGAGGACAGTGGTAAATTATTAACATTCATTAGCTGTTTCCGTGCCATATTAGTTAACTGTTTTCCAGCAAGCAGGGCCCAGAGGGAATGAGAGGACAGATAAGGTTTGAGAGAAGCTGACGTAGAGAAATGGATTTGTGACTAGATGGGTCCTAGACGCAGGCCTGGGCGACCAGGGGTCAGAATGTTTAAGTTACCATTCTACCAGCTTAATCATCTTTGATCTTTGGTGTGATGTTTACCTCTCGCGTTGTTGTGTTTTTCTGTACCGGGGGTTTTTGTACTGAGCTACATCCCAGCCCTTCTTTGATTTTGAGACAGCGTCTTGCTAAATTACCTAAGTGGGGATTGAACTTGCAATCCTCCTGCCTCATCCTCCTAGAGCGCTGGGAATACAGGCATGGACTGCCATGCCTGGTTTGACTCTGTCTTTACCAGGAGCAGCAGTGTTCAATTCTTGCTACACATTAGGAGAATTATCTAAGGAGTTTTTTAAAAATAGTGATGGGACCCGACCTCCCGGCTACTAACTCAGAATTCTCCGGGGGCCAACCAGAGAATGGCAATTTTAAAGGGTCTCCAGAGTGACCACCTGGTGCAGCACTGGTTGAGAACTGTTATTTATACAGCAGAACTCCAGCACTGAGTACAATGGTGCCGAAGCAGCTGGAAAATAAACGAAACCCTTCCCATTTGAACACTTGGGAAACATGAGCTAAAATGACAAACCAACGGGCAAGAACACCCATTGCCAAATACTTTTCTTGCAGGCAAATGGAGATGAGGGAGCCCTCCCAAGGCAGGTGACACTGGAACCCACAGCCTCAGAAAAACCCTAGTCAAGTGAGACCTGGAAAGTACACTCTTTTGGCTGCAAGGACCACCAAGAAGTCACCTGGTTTATACTTTCATCTCCAAGCATGGAATGGCAGAGTAAACCCAGAAGCTAGCAGAAAAAAAACACGAATCTCTACCGATCTTGTAAGTGTTAAGAAAATAAATAAGTGAAGGCAAACTTACCTTTAAGGAAAATACTACTTAAACCCATCTACTGAGTTACCACATGCTAACTATTTTACAAAGCGACAACAGGGAATTTCCAGTTTGTCATCACTACAGTCCCATAGTCTCATCCCTAATCTGAATTTCCTTCATTTATCAAACTTGTTGGGTTATAATTTGTGTCAAGTCTATGCTGAACTCCACAGCTGAAGAAACAAAACAGCTTTCCTTTTATTTAATTTAGAGACAGGGTCTCACTATGCAGTTCAGGCTGGCCTTGCGCTCATTTTGTAGCCCAGGCTGGCCTTGAACTCGCAATGATCCTCCTGCCTCAGCCTCCTGAGTGCTGAGATTACATGCGTGCACCACCACGCCTGGCTCCGAGAGGAGCCCTCACAGAAGAGCTCACTGTGTAGCCCAGGTTGGCCTTGAACTCACGGTGATCCTCCTGCCTCTCCCAAGTGCTGGGATTACAGTGTGAACCACCACTAGCCCAACTATCCATTTTAAAATTCACTTTCTATTTAATATTATTTAACCCAAATATATGACTGTAAAGTCATCTTGCAGTCAGATGTTCTTTTTCTAGCAGCACATGGGATGGGTAAGCACTCTCCGCAACTGCAGGAAGGGCTTTCTAACCCAGGTTTATTCAAAAAGTCTCCTGTGCAGGGGCTAGGGATTTAGCTCAGCGGCACAGCACCTGCCTGGCAAGTGTGAGGTCGTGAGTTTGATTCCTGGTACCAGAATAAAACAAAAAAACAAAAAGTCTCCTGTGCTAGGTCTGACCCTCCAACATCAAGCAACAGAAATATTCAACAACAGAACCCTCTCAGCCGGGCGTGGTGGTACACGCCTGTAATCCCAGCACTCGGGAGGCTGAGGCAGGAGGATCATTGCAAGTTCAAGGCCAGCCTGGACTACAAAATGGGCTCAAGGCCAGCCTGAATTGCACAGTGACACCTTGTCTCAAAAAGACCAGAAAAAAAAACCAAAAAACAAAAAACAAAAACAGAATCCTCTCTGCTCAGATGCTACTCTGAAGAATCTACTTCTGTGCAGAGGCTTGTATACTTCAGAAGAATTGCTAAACTATGCACACATTAAGCATCATTCACAGGGGCTGGGGATTTAGCTCAGCGGCAAAGCGCTTGCCTGGCAAGCGCAAGGTCATGAGTTCGGTTCTCGGTACTGGAGAAAAACCAAAAAAAAGAAAAAACAAAAAAAGAAAAGCATCATTCACAAATTGAGCTTCAAATACTGCAGGATATACAATTTGCTGTATTTTTTGTGGTCTAAGAATCCATGCCAAATTAAGGTCAACAGCTGTGTGTCAGTCTGAAGCATCTTAACTTTTACTTCACTGTCAATAAACACACACATTACTAAAGTTCAGGAACCTGGGTGGAGCACTGGGAATACTCAGAACTGTGGCATGGTGTTTGTCCCACACACGCTAAAAATGTTTTGGGGAGACAGGTTTAAAAGGTTAAGCATTAAGATTTTATGCTTTCTGTGAAGACACTCCACATTCAAAAATAATTTAGAAAAGGAATCTGAATCTAGAAAGGGGTCTGAATCTAGAAAGCCTTCTTGAAAGAGAGATTCAGCTCTAAAAGCAGAGTAACAGATATACAGAGAAAAACAGGACATTTTAGAAAGGGGAAAGAAACTGGCCTTGAGCTTCTTCCTCCTGGAACTAAAGGCATCCTTCCCTAAAATAACATAGAAGTCAAAACAAGAATCAAGGGCATAAACCTTGAGAAAGTGCAGTAGAAAACATAGAGGAAACTCTTTCCGATACTGCTTCAGGTAACAATTTTTAACATAAGATACAAAAGGCACTATCTATAAATAAAAAATGAACTGCATCTTCATTATTAAAAGAAGAAAAAAAAAAAAAAAAGGGGGATAGCCGGGCATGGCGGCACACACCTGTAATCCCAGCACTTGGGAGGCTGAAGCAGGAGGATTGTTGCAAGTTCGAGGCCAGCCTGGGCTACAAAGTGAACTCAAGGCCAGCCTGAACTGCATAGCGAGACCCTGTCTCAAAAAAAAAAAAAAAAAAAAAGGGCTTTCTGGGCCATAGGGGAAAGAAAATAACTAATGGTACAAAACCAGATGGCTACTAGGGGTAATTGAGGGTAATGTGAAAAGTATAGGAATGATGCTATGAAACTATGCAATGAATTTCAAATGCTAAGAAACTCATTTATAAAAACAAGTTTGATTCCTCCTGACGACTTGCAACAAAGGGAGAAGTTACTCAAATGTCAGATATAACTGAATCGGGATTTCCAGTTACATGAAAATATGAAATTATACTTTCATAGTCCAGAGACTCTCAATCCACTCAAGATATATCTAAAAACTTCACCTCTTTTCAGCCTTATATTCACAGGTTAAGTAATCCCTACTTGTGTGTGGTTTTTCCACAGGTAAAATAAAACTAATCCTCATTGGATTTTGCAAACGCTTCTTCCTGAAGTTTTCAAAATAAACACGCTGGTCTACTTGGCCTCTCAAAGGCAAGGCACTTAGGGGTGAGAAGAGGGGAAACAGGAGCTGAGCTCTGTCTTCTTCCAATTTCCAATGAAGAGTTAAAAGGAAAATCAAACTGCCAAGATTTATTTAACTTTCTCTCTCACAGAAAATACAATACATATGTAATGTAAACACTGACACATGAAATAAAGAGCAAGGATCAGAAAGACAAACACACTGGAGAATACCCTTGCTTCAACATTGTACTACTTCCTGATTTCACTGGCAGCATAAATCACATGGTTACAAAAATGAGAAAAATTAAAGGCAATACTCAGATTTACAGGTATGAGAGAGCCTCGGAACTCCCCACAATGCCATACAGAAGTAGGATGAAAAAAAATTTTTTAAATTAAAGCTGAGCACATGTCCATTTATCCACTTACTCAAGGCATTTAATGTAGGAGCATAAGAATGGATTAACACATGACCTTTACTATGTCTCTGGAGACAAAGATTTAATTTGCCTCTTTTCTCTCTCTAGGGAAAATAAAATTAACCAAATTAAAAGCAGAACTGTGTGGTACTGGCCAGAAGAGAGCACAATCACAGTGAATTCTTATTTCAGGATACGCAGGAAATGTGAAACACAGTAAAGGACTGCCATGGGTGAATGGTCATCCTGTATATCATCACGCAGGGTTTTCAAACTTTCCCAGAACATCAAACAAGGAGAAATGACCTAAAGCAGTGATTGGGATCAAGAACCCTCTTAAAACGGTGAGTCTGCTTCTCAACTGCAATTCACTAATAAGGAACAGAGGCTGCAGTTTTCTGTGATTATCCCAAGAGATTAAAATGACCTGTCTTCTTTTTTATCAGATGACACCCACCAGGTGAGAAGTAATTTTGGTAACAGATGCCTGCCGTGCAGACTGGTTTGTAACGGTACTCAGTGTCACAAGATTTGGGTTCAGATAAAGCTGGTTTAGAGCTGGAGATCAGAGAATCCGAGATTTGCCAAGTGCGCCCACTCCCTCAATGAGCCCGTAATCAGAGGGCATTCTGAATACGACTACACAGTAGTAAGTATCTTACGTACTTACGGTGAGTAAAGTAGCTTATGCTGAACACTGATTCTCTGGAGGAAAAATGATACTCTGACCACGTGTTTGAAACTCATTTCCCCAGGCAGAGCCCCGGTAATGCTAAGAGATGGAAATTTTTTAATGTACTCATAAACTGTCGCATGAAAAACACCTTCACAACAAAAACCAGATTCTTATATTCCTTATCTAGAGCCCTTTGCACAGTACTCTGCAATTTATTGTGCTCTTACTAAAGAGATAAAGAACAGAGAAAAGCAAAATTGAGGTTTTCAAAGGGATAGGAGCTGATATTCCAAGGAAGCCCTGTATCAATCCTGACTTTTTTGGGGGGGGGGGGGCGGTTCTTTCCGGTACCGGGAATCGAACTCACGACCTTGCGCTTGCCAGGCAGGCGCTGTGCTGCTGAGCTAAATCCCCAGCCCCTCCAATCCTGACTTTTTTGTGCTATAACAAAGCTCTTGCTCAGGGGGCCTTTCATTTATTTTTTTTCAAACAAGCAAGAAAATAACAGATCAACACTGTACCACTGTGTGTGTGCATGTGTTGGTGAGCATGTGCACATGTGCGTTTGCTAGGTATCAAACCCGGGGCCTCACAGACGGGGAGCACACACTCTACCAGTGAGCTTCAGTAGACTTCCAGGCCTGCACCAGTCTGATTAGACAAACATGACCCTTCACTGACCTCCATTACTGGACTCTTACTTATCCCTGCAAAAAGCAGGGGTTTTGGTGCTGTGGACAGTATGATATTACTATAAGAAAGGCAAGATGCTTCACTTACAGTCCTCTGCCCTGTAATCCCATCAAATACCCACTATTTGCTTTGGAAAACACTAACAAGTAGTATCAAAAATTAAAAGTTACAAATTTTTCAAACAAGTGGGGCTCCAGTTTACTTTCCAGTTATTGTTCTAAACTGTCTGGACCTCTCACCTTTCCCATGCTTTACTCCAGCTCAGAATATTCCTTACATTAAAAAGAAAAGAATGATCCTTAGAGAGCATCCGAAGAATAGAGTTTTTGTACAGTAACCACCCATTTGTCCCATTATCACTTCTCTTCCTCTCTTGGGATCAGTCTCTATTGGAAAGTCCTTCCTTTGAAAGATGAAAGATGGAAAATTCTGAAAAATAGATCCAGTCTATTTTTTACTAGAAATAGTTACCCTTAGGGAAATAAGGCACCTATAAAGTAACCCTAGAGGAATGACAGGGATAGTTCAGACAGTGGGGTCCTCTGTGGCTGCAAAGGAATGGGACTTGCAAAGTAAGTAGTACTTTCTTGCCACAAGACTGATTATATCATGCAGCGCTGCCATGAGGGTCTCATACACAGGAAGATTTGAGGCTGCAATGAACTCAAAGAAATGTAGATGAAGTTTTTCTTTGAAACAGAAACTTACAGGATCAGTCAGATCTCTGGTCAACTTCATCATCCTCTCAAGCTAGGTGACAAGTTAAACCACCTAGGTTCAGGCTCTAGCTCTTTAGTCTGTTTTCTCATCTGTTAAATGGGGATAAAATCATCTGCTGTCTATTCTGCATTGTGATTGTGAGGATCAAATGAGACATTGTGAAAGTGCCTTGTAAACTGTGAAATACTGTAAATAAAGGGAAAGTAGCAGTATATGCTTATTACATTTTAATGAGTCCTTCTCATTGCCTATTTGACGAGAAGTACCTCATGCAGGGTGTGCCTTGCCACAGAACTGAAAAACAGGCTATAAATATACACTGGTCCTTTTCACTAGGATTGTTTAAAAAAAGAAAATTCCTAATGTCCTCAGCAACAGCCTCTGAATACATTTAAAAATGTGATGTCATCCAAATCTGTCAACTGGTAGGATTAATTTCTTTAAGAATGCTCTACTATATGTTAGTCTATTGATACTTTATACAGAGGAGTCAGGAACTTAAGATACAGCATGCTAAAACTTACAAGAAAACATAAAATAGCCATATAGTTGAAATTGGTAGTAAAGGAAATAAAATGGAAATTAAAGGCATCATGTACAATAAAATTATGTCACAGTTCCTCAAATGGTTGCCTTTTTCCTGAGATCACTCCAGGACAGGGGCCTGGTCCTGTGAAGTGCTTTACAGAAGCTTCGTCTTGCTGGAGGTGAAAAAGGACATGTTGTTAGCAACAAGGCTGGGCTCATTTTCGCACTAGGATTTGAACAATGAGGTCCGCTAGGAGCTGTGGAACAGCTATGGTGGAGAAGCCCATGTGGCCTGCGAGAGGCTTGCTAGTTCTCAGATGCCACGCCAGTGTGGATAGTAGCTTAACACAGCCTTCCAGTCCAGGGATTTTCAAATCTTCCTGTAAGCTGGTTCTGCTCTTCTTCGGTCTAATAAATAATTGAACAGAAAAAAACAATGAGATGTGTAGCAATATACCTATCTGTGCTTTAGGGCCTTTTTCCTGCCTATCTGCAAAGTTTACATGCAGAAAGGAGACACAGAAGTGAATGTAACTTTGATTAGACTTTGAAAGAAATATTTTGACTAGCCCAAAGCACCCAGACCGCTCTATTCTTGTCAGATGACCTTTATTAAAAACACTCTAGGTGGTGAGTCGAGGGAGTCAGGGCAGTGGAACTGCTAGTTAACAAGATGCTTGTCCTCTGAGGCAGGAACGTGTTGCTAACCTCCACTTTTCTTCTTGGCTTGCTTTGCTTTCCGGGGTTTGAAGATGGTGTAGTTCACATATACTGTGTATTGATCTGACAGGAAGGGGACATAAAATGCCCGAAGGAGCCTTGAAGATCTGAAAAACACGGGGAGTGAGGAAGAATGTTACCATCTGCGAGAACTCACTATGAACATGACGCTGAGGCTTCTGGTGAGGATTATGCTTTATAAAAGCGCACGGAGAAGCCTGCTGTTTAGGTACTAGATCATTACAGAAGACTTGCGACCGAGGTCCCCATGCCAGAACAAAAAACAAACATTCCCAAATAAGCCCAAGCGTATCCTTCAAAATAGCTCTAGGTCTTCACTTTGCATAAGAATGTGCCATAGAAAAGTCCTCCGGTCAATGAAAGGGCTGCTGTTACTGAAATGCTTGCCTTTTTGAGTACTGGGGTTGGTGCTAGGGGAATGCTGTGCCACTGAGCTATACCCCCAGTCCTTCTTATATTAAAATAGGGTCTCTCTAAATTGTCTAGGCTGGCTTTGAACCTTCAATCCTCCTTCCTCAGACTCCCAAGTAACTGGGATTACAGATGTGCACCACACAGCAGGCAGAGATGCAATATTAACCCCCAAAGGCCTCTGCATCTAAGAAACTGTAGAGATGCCATATACGCAATGACCCTGACTCCAGGTCTAAATTTCCCTAAACAGGCAAAGAAAACTAAGTCCTGGGGCCTGTGTGTAGTATTCCACTAATGCCCAAGTCAGGGAGATTCAACACAGAAAGTCATGTTGTGTCAACATGTCCCTGGCAAATTCTATCTACTTATTACTAAAATAAGGCAAAAACTGAAAATGCAAATTTCTCATGAGTTTCTGAAGAATATAGTAAGTGCTTTAGCTTTTAAATATATCATCTAATCTATCTGACAATCACGTGGGGAGAGTGACATTATTATCCATGGTTTTTTTTTTGTTTTTTTTTTTGAGATAGGGTTTCACTATGTAGTTCAGGCTAGCCTTAAACTTGCTGTAATCCTCCTGCCTCAGCCTCCCTGCTGGGATTATAAGTATGTGCCACCATATTAGGCTTTTTGCTGTTTTATAGATGGTAAACTGGGGCTTAAAATTAGTCAAAAGTCAAAACTTTTTATTAATTAGTCAAAACCTGTGCAGAGGCAAAGGAGTAAATGAAGAGTCTCATTCAAAGCTAAGTTTTATTCTAGATTCTGGATGCTTAGTCACTCTGGTTTACCCCAGGAACAGGCTAAATGGACTTCTCATTCCCCAGAAAAACCTGTAGTGATAACTTCAAATTCTACATGAAGGACTGCTTCCTAACTCTTACTTCTGAGTTCAAAAATCTGAAGTTGGCCCAGTTATTGCTGCCCTAAATGAGACAGCTGAGGGGTGTTCTAGTGCCAGTCCTTCTCCGAATTCTAAACTTGTAAATGTCATGTCAACGTGGCATTTGTACTGGCAGCTTACATCTGAGTTTGGCAAACTCCTGCAATGCCTGTACACAATGATATCGTGCTTGGCAAACACATCGCTGAGAGATCCTTCCCAACTGGGACGCTGGCAGTGCTCTGCGCTCCACAGAGATGCACTCAACTTCCACAGCTAACTCCTCTAGGGCTCTGACAGAGAAAAGAAGCTTAGCGGAGAACACACAGAGATAAAGCAGGGCTCCTACAAACAGCATGAACAAGTAGAGGAAGTGCTTGCCACACACAACAAAAGAAGTTAAATTGTTCTTTCTGGCCATGCTGCACAGATAAGGTGATGCTGGCACAGAAAGACATAGGCTGGAGGGAGCTCCTACAAGCCTAAGTGTCTCTCCTAGTAAATCCCTCATTAACACAATTGTTACGTACTCCCGGGCAACTCAGCCCTTGGTGTGACATCAGCATCCACTGAATCCAGCTTTTTTAAAAATTTTCTCTTTGAAGCAGTTCTTAACTATTTGGGAAATATTACGGTTTGTAATTTTATTCTTTTCAGATTCTTCTAAAATAACAAAGAAAACTTATACTATTTTAAAAACGAAAATAAGACCCATTCAAGCAGTCATCCTATGGATCTATAACACTTTTATTTATAAATCTAAGCTATAATATGAGATCTTGGTAGTCTTACTCTTTTCCCGGTTTTGTTGTTGTTTTCATTTTTGCAGTGCTAGATTTTGAAGCCAGGGCCTCACGCATGCTACTAGGCAAGCACATTTTTCTGTATCTTAAATTATTTGTAATCGTGCTTTAAAAACAAAGACTATACTAAGAAAACTGATAAAGTCACTGAAAAGGGTAATGTAATAGTGAAGTCAACACCATCATTGCTTTACCTTTCAGTTTTCCTGTTACACACCCTAAAGCACCGCACCACCACTGACTGCGGTACATGTAACTGGAAGCGCTGCATCTATGCCCACTCTTGGCTTGCATTCAACATAGTTCAGAATAAAGAAGCCTTTAAAAAATTTCCCATCTCTAATGGCAAGTAAAAGAAACCCAACAGAGGAAGATGTCACAATTCAACAGAGGAATACAAACAGACACATGGCCGCACATCCGACTCTAATGATGACAATGAAATTTTAGCACTAACTTTACTGAGACATCATGAGATTACTGTAAGTTGCCTTTGGCCTCTCTGCTTACAAAAGGTGCTCAAAGTGGTGGCCATTAGCTTCCAGACATTTAGGAGTATGGTGAAATACTAAGGTGTATATGCATTTTTTGGGTTTCTGTATATATATTCACAATAAAAATAAAGAATATATATCATTTAAATTATGATTTTTTCATTATTCTTTTACTCTTATTTTTGTAAGTTATTTATAAAATAACTAAAAATTATAAAAAGAAAAAAGGGTCCATTAAACCAAGGCAGTAACCGGTGAAGACTACTTTCCTGGTATGCTGACAGATGCTGCCAGGGGGTTCCGAAGGTATTTCAGAAAACTATCTTGGGCCACAAAAAGGACATAATCATCATCAAAAATACCGAAGTGGACTAAAATGGAAGAAGGGCCACTCTGCATTATTGTTGAATGCAAATGGCAAGCTAAAAGAAAGGCAAAAAATAAAACAGATTGGGACAAACTATTTGTAATATACAAAATGGAAAATTAATATCTAGAGTAGATGGATGTGGCTCTTTCTCCCATCTGCCTTTCCATTCTAGTGCTCATGGTTTGATTACACATGCTTCAATTTCTTGAAAAATTTGTTTACTCTTGCCCAGAGGCTGCCAAACTCCAAGTGATCATGCAGATGGAACCAATGACAAATGTGCCAGACTCCTTTTCCAGGACCAACCAGATCCATCTTTTTTTTTTTTTTTTTTTT